TCTTTTACTGGAGTAACAGCTGAGTCTTAAATGCCTTATTAATTGCTACCCATATTACAACAGCATCAAAATATACAGAATAACTTAACAGAAGCTAGTCCCTCGGAAAAGAAAGAATAAAGAGGATTAGGAAAGACAAGCAGATGAACTCATGCAGAGAGCTTGTCATATCTCATATGCTAACAAATTTGAGCTCAATTAGCATTTGGATGACAGACCAGTTTTGCTGAAATTGGTGTTGCAGGCTTAATAGGCAGTAATAATACCCTGATCTTTTTTCTTTTTTTTTTAATTGTAAGAAAATAGCAGGGCAGAAGCAGATAATCTGTAATGCACAGCTATAGAGAACCTCCTCAAGATACTGCCCATTTTGCATTTGCCACATCAATGCAGCCTCCTCTCTACTGTGTGAGTTTTATGATCTGATCAAACCTCAATAACTGTGTTCCACCTCCTCTGGGGGAGGATCTCATGGCAAGTGGGGGGGGGTTGCTGCTGTCTGTCTGAGTTGAGAGCACAAGGCATTCACTTCTGTCCTGAAGGCAAGCATAGCTTTCATCTCTCAGGATACACGAGATGGCTGATGACCTTCAAATACAGGAGGTAACACGGTTAGTGAAGTACCTCAGTCACACAGAGACTATGGTCTGTATTGTGCTCTATGCCTCCAGTGAACTTCTTGGTCAGCAAAAATGGACCTAGTGTTTCTCAGTACTTCTCTGGAACAATGGTCTTCTCACCCAGCTAGCACCCTAGTTCCTATCACACACTTGTTTGCCCTCCACAGGGTGAGGAGGCTGAAAAGAGTGGTTTCAACTATAACAACCTTCGTCTGGTGACCGCAGACTTGTTTGCAGCTGGTTCTGAGACCACCTCCACCACTCTCCGGTGGGCACTACTGTACATGCTTCTCCACCCGGAAATACAAAGTAAGTCAGAAGACAAGCAGAGGTATGGCGTTTTCCCTTCAAACCTCATGTTTCTGTGGGAGACTGAACATGTGTCCATGGTTTGGAGCTCTTGCAATGAGGAGCAGCTTTGGTGATTGTTGGTCTAGCAGAAACAAGGAGAAACACTTCCCAAACATAGCTGTTCTGGCAGGGACAGGTGGCAGGGGAGAAGCCCTCATAAAAAGGCTGCAGTTGGAAGGGCAAGTTCACTCTAGCCTTCATACTGAAGGCTACTTGGGGACTTTCAGTGGCCAGAGTACTCTTTTTCCAGTATTTGGGATAGATGCTAATCTTGTTTAATTTTCTACTGCCACGTGCCCAGGTACCCTTTCAGCTGCATAGAGAAGGGGTAGGGTAGCACATCAAGTGACAAGACCTTTATTAAAGACACTGTGCACAAAGAATAGTTATACAGATGGCTCTGAGCAACTGAAAAGAAATGCATTCCCCTCTAGCTTCTCTTGCTTTCTCTAATTGCATGTCCGGCTTTCAATCAGTGTCTACAGTCTCATGCTGCCAGCCTTCCTACAGCTCATACCAGTCCCTTCTGTTTACGTAAAGACATTCTAATTCCATAGCTGCTTTGATTCCAGGTAAGGTCCAAGCAGAGATTGATAAAGTGATTGGCAGAGAGCAATCACCCACTATGAAGGACCAAGTGAGCATGCCCTACACCAATGCTGTGATCCATGAAACGCAACGCCTGGGGGACATTGTTCCTATTGGACTACCTCACATGACGTACCGTGACACGGAATTGCAAGGCTTCTTCATTCCCAAGGTGACTGTGACCAGATAGGCAATGCAGCATCCTCTCTCCCTGTGCAGATCAGGCATGCAGTGTGGGTGACCCCACACAACTCTGCAGCAGTGCACTTCCAGACCCAAAGTAGAATCACTGGTGAGCACTGAAATAGGGCATTTTGAAATGCTAAATCCAGGCAGATGGTCACATTTGTGCTCTAGGTTTGAGCTGGTTATGTGGGAACTCAGCTGCAGTGGCAGCTCAGTGCAGAGGTTTGCTTTCCTCTTGATGAGCTGTGATATTCACTCTCTGTGTCGGAGGGAGAAAGTAAAAGAGCCTAACAGGCTCACTGCAGGCACATGGCACCAGCTTACTGGCTTTCCTAAGATGGTAGTAGTTAAAACTCTAATCTCTGAAGCTATTCAAATTCCACTGGCATTCAGTCTACTGCCACTGTGCCGGGCAGCTGCCCTGGCAGTAATGCAAGCCTGGGATTTTATTTTTAGCCTTGCAATATCTCCTCTGGTTTAGAACATTGACACGTGAAACAAGAAAGCTTTGCAATTTCCTATGGCCCCTGTGAATGGTGGGCTTTGAAGTCAGTCAGTCAGCTTTTTCTCTCTGGCTGCACAAGTAGTCCAGGAGGATCTGATAAGCGGACACTGTTTCCACTGTGTAACCATAAAATTGATATTTGCATGCAATGGCCTTTGTAAAGATACCAACTGCTGAAGTTCAGAGCATAGGGCAGGCATCACACCTCACTGGAAAAGTGCCCTGCCTTATCTCTGTTTAAATAAGATACTGAGGAGGAGATTGGTGCTGTGTTCTGAGGCATCAAATAATGGTTGCTATTAGATGGGAGAAACAGACTAAAGGGGGATCAGCACGGATCCACGGTGTCAAGATAAAGCTGCTGTTCTCACATAACTTATTTCCTCTTGTGGAGGAGTGCAGGGGACGACAATCATCACCAACTTGTCTTCCGTGCTGAAGGATGAGGCAGTCTGGGAGAAGCCAAACGAGTTCTACCCTGAACACTTTCTGGATGCAAATGGGCGGTTTGTGAAGCCAGAGGCCTTCCTGCCTTTCTCAGCAGGTAAATCTGAGGGGAGGATCCAGCTGGAAGCCAGAGGCACAGCAGGAGGAGTGATCTGTTGCTCCTGCCACAGTTCCAGTGTGGTCTAATATCCTCTTTCACGGACACTTTTCTACTCCTCCCTCTCTTGCAGGTCGCCGTGTCTGCCTTGGGGAACAGCTGGCCAGGATGGAACTCTTTATCTTCTTTACCACGCTCCTGCAGAAATTCACCTTTGTGCTCCCCAAAGACCAGCCCAGGCCACGGGAGGATGGTCACTTTGCCCTCACGAGCTCCCCATACCCATTCCTGGTACAAGCTATCCCAAGATAAATGTGCACCGTTCTCCTTTCACTCACACACCTCCACAGTGTTAACTGCATCAGGAAGGTTGCAGGTCTAGGGCAGGAACATGCCAGGTTCCACTCAAAACCTCTCTAATTCCAGACCTGGGTCTTGAATGGGACAGCCATAGCAAGTTATGAATTATGATCAAATCTGCAAGTACATATATGCCTCATTAGCCAGCTCTGCTGTACTTTGGGCTCTCATCAGTTGCAGAAGCACTTCACCGAGTGCACACCTACTGAAAGAATTATTCGTCTTGAATTAGTTTATTGAAAAAAAAAAACCAAGGGTATCCTGGGTAAAACACAACCGTGGGGTCTTGCTAATTCTAGGAACAAAAAACAACCTTGGAAATATCTCTAAGGTCCTCCCGGCCTGTGCTCCTCCTTGCTAGCCCCACTGCATACCCAGCCGCACTGCCTCCCATGAGGTGCTGTCCCACAGCAGCATGTGCCTCTGCCTGGTGCCCAGGAGAGTCCAGTTGTAGATTTCAGAGCTACCTTTCCTCCTGCAATATTAACGACAAATTGTTTTGCAAGGTGTTAAGATATGGGGATGATTAGATCAGTAGCTGCTTTTTAACCACATGGCTGACATGACCATAGCATAAATGAGCATCTGTGCGTAATCACTGGTAAAAGAAAATCTCTGAAACTGAGGGCACATTTCACACATTCATATCTATATTTCTAATAGTAATTTTGGAAGCTATGAAAATAATTGATTTATGCAAATGCTTATTAATCTTGCTGTTAAAGAGTTTTACTTTGCAGGAAGTGCCCATTTATGCTTTTTCATCTACAAGCTAGTCTGAAAGAATAAAAGTCATCTAGAAAGTCGTCTTTCTCACCCCTCCTCTTTGGGGTTGTCTCACAGTCCTGCTATACACCTGCCTTGGCTATTCGCTTGACATTTCTCCTCTTACAGTCAGCACTCGATATGTTTCTTTCAAGATCCTTTCAGTTTTCCTCTTCTGGTTGGCTCAATGACACCGCACTGAACACGTTCGGGTTTATGGCTACCAGCACACACATAAATGTTTTTAAAGAGAAAGTTTCATAGAGTTTTGGAACAGTTTGGGTTGGAAGGGACCTTAAAGATCATCTAGTTCCAATCCCCTGCCACGGGGGGTTCATGAACTACACTTCAAACAGAAAGGTTTCCAGCACCCACGTATTTGGACAAACCGTGTGGCTATACGAAGAGTAAGGACTGTCTTTCTAGCATGCAAGAACGCACTGAAAGTCAACCTTCGTGTGCAAACGTTAGCTGGTGTGGTGTTTTGGAAGGCAAACGGGGACAAAGACACCGTTGCACAACACAGATCTAGCACCGATAATGGGGAAGCGGAAAGCAAGTTCTCCAAGCCAAACACGGCCGTACAAGCCACCCGGCTGGTGCGGGGCTGGGAGCAGGTAGGACGGATACGAGAAGGGGGTTGCTGTGAGTACGGGGCGCCTGCTGAGGAGCGCTCTTCTGCCTCCCGTCATCCTGCAGGTGACCCGCACGGCCTGCGGCAGTCCTGCACAGTCCCCTCCTCCAGGGAGCCTGACCCGGCCGGCGAGAAGCCTTGCGAGGCTACCCCCGCCCCTCCTCGTACCGATCCCCGCGCCCGCCTCCCCTACCTCCGACACCCCTCACCTCCCGGCTCCCCTCACGGGTCCCACCGGGCGGCGCTCACCCAACCGCCCCGGGAGGCGGGACACACAGCGGACCCGCCCACCCGGCCTGGTCCTGGGCCGCGCAGCCAGCAGTGATTGGCGTTCCTTCTGGCCAATGGGATGAGAGACTGCCGGCCCAAAAGGCTTGAGTGGCAGAGCAGCGGGCCAGTAGGAAGTCGCCGTCCCGGTGCGCGATCCTATCGGCAGCGGGGAGGGGGCGGGATGCGCCGTTCCGAGGGTCGCTGCGGAGGCGGTGTCTGCAACAAGATGGCGGTAGCGGGCAAAGGCGCGGCGGCCGCCTTGGTGAAGCCGATCTTCAGCCGGGACCTGCGCGAGGCGAAGCGGAGAGTGAGAGAACTGTACCGGGCCTGGTACCGAGAGGTGCCCAGCACCGGTGAGGGGCGCATGCGCGGGCGGGAGCGACAGCTCAAGGTCGTAACGGCCACCCCGTGGTGTTCTTAAAGGGCCCGTCGGTGGTGCTGGTACCGTCGGGGGTGAGGGGTCCCCTCGGTGCCCTTTCCCCGCTGCGTGTGGGACAAGGGGACGTGGTTGTTTGCGGCCTGAAAGCGGCTGCTGGGTTGTGGGGCCCCAGCTGGCCCGCTTGCCTCCACTGCCGGAGGTCTGGGCAGGAAACCCCCCTCTCCTCATTCCTTACGTGTCATTCGGTTTTCCTAGCCAAACAAAAGAGAAATTAAGCTGTAACGTTACAGAACGGGGGTGTGTGGCATGACTGCCTGCTTCCTTAAAACTGCACTGGGACTCGTACTATGGCTGTTGTTCATGTGCCTTAATCGTATTAAGCTGGCGGACATTGCAAGAGCCAATGACTGTGTAGTGTTTCATACGGCCGAGTTGCATGCTGTCAGTGAAAAATAATGAAAAGTAATACAGATAGCCTGTGTGGGTGTTGTGTTTTTCGTAGTACACCTGTACCAGCTGGACATCACGGTGAAACAGGGGCGTAACAAGGTGCGAGAGATGTTCATGAAGAATGCCCACGTTACAGACCCACGGGTGGTAGACATGCTGGTTATTAAGGTACAAACAAGTTATTCCCTTTTTGTTGAAGCAGCATAGAATGTGAAAGGCCATAATTAATGTGGTGGAGGAGAGGGACAGTTTTATTTCAGCTTGTGCTAAGGAGGAGTTGTCTCTTGCAGTCCAAATTGGTTTATCTCTGTCAACAAACCTGTTGATAAGGGATCAGGCCGCTTTTTAGCGTGCAGATGGGTAGGGTCTTAGCTCGCATAAGTCAGAGATGCTAGAATGGGGATTTTTGTCACACAGTGTACTGGCTCTTCCAGACTGCAGATACTTAAAAGTGTATGCAAGCAAAACAGTAGTTTAAATACCAAATTTGTTGTCAGTTTGTTGTGGGTTTTTTGGGTTAGCATATATTTTCTAGTTGGGTTGGGGTTGGGTTTTTTTTGAAAACAATGGCAAAGAAAGGGGAGAAAGATGCTGCTAGCTAGTTTATGATTAAATATGACCTTTCTACTCTCTACAGTACTTCCTTATGTTGGGATGTGGTTTTCTTCACCAATGCTGAAACATCCATTAAAGTTTCAGTACTTGGCTTTGGGTGGCAGAACACCCCACCTTTGTAACGCATCTGGTCATGTCTCAGGCCTAAGAGGCCTGTCTGGTTCAATGTAATAATCAGCATGCCAAGAGTAGGGCAAGAGTTCAAAACAGATCTCTGCAGTTCTAATGCATTAGAAGGCTTTCAGTCGAGGACTGCTGGGCTCACCTGTTGCATTTCTTGCACTTAAGAGATAGTCTGGATTTACATGAGTAAAAAATTCTGGAAAGAAAACCCTAGATAATATTATAGGTGACAATTCCAGGCAGTCTCATTTTGCCCCATGCTGCCTTGCCATCCTCTGAAACCAGTACAGTAATTCCTAGACCAGAGTCAGGAAGAAGTTATGTTTGATATCTCTGTGGTAGAGATAGCAGTGCAAAGCACTTAGCAGCAGTTTTGCTTGGTTTCACAACTAACTGGCCACTACTAAAAAAATTAGAGGTGCACGAAAGTTGGGAATGTGGTGTAGAATTTTATGGGGGTGCCAGTCATGAGAGAAACATGAGAAGTTCTAAGAAGGTTCCCTTGCCTATTCCACAGGGCTGGGAAGCTGCACTGTAGAGACAAGCGACTTGTTAGTACAAGACATGAAGCTGTACAGTCACAAGGCAGGAACAATATATATATTTGTGTCACAGCATAGGTGATGCAGGCTGCCTTTAGGAGTACAGAACTGTTGATGTAGCTATCTCAAGGGTGTTTCTAAGTGCATTCAAATACCTTTCATAGTGCTGTATAGTTAGATTTGGGCTCTAATTGAGAATTAGTCTAAAATTATTTTGTCTGTATGCAGGGAAAAATGGAACTTCAAGAAACCATCAATGTATGGAAGCAAAGAACTCACATCATGAGGTATTTCCACGAGACAGAAACCCCACAACCTAAAGACTTTCTTTCCAAATTCTATGCAGGCCACAATCCCTGAGAGATCGACTCTTGTGTCCTCCTGCCTTGTATTATAAATAAAGTTCTATGCACTAGAAAATAAAAAATCCAAACAGAGAGATCGTATAGCATGTTAGGAGCCTAATGACTAACTGAATCCAGCATGTGTGCAATTTGTTATGATCTGTATGAAGAGCTGTGATTTCCTAGTTTTGCCCGTGTGTATTTCCAGTAGATGGAGTTTGTCCCATCACTTGCTCTGGAGTGTTTGCTGAGTCACCAGAACGCATCCTGGCTGTGGGGCTTTCTGTTTAGCCTGCAGCCCTGTGTGTAAGCCTCAGCCCCATGGAAGAAAGAGTGGGTCTTAAGAAAAGCCAGTGTAGTTGCAGAAGTATTCTCATGCTTGAGGCCCATCTGTATTTATACAGTGTTATGCAATTTCATGCTATTACTGTGTTGACCTTGAGTTTTTTAATTGGACATTAGTCTCTCTTTACTTCCTCACAGAGAATGGCATAAAATCCAATAGGCAAATACAACCATTTGTGCAATAAAAAGATCAACAATTTCCCTGCTGTAAAGTGAAATTACCTGGAAAAACGGGAATCTGCACTGTTGCCTATAATAGGGAGGCTCTATTAGAACTTCTGAGGCTTTGCAGAAGGTGGTGTCCTATCACCTTAATTGAATCAGGAATCACTAGCTCTGTTTTGAGAAGGGTAAGGACAATTTGTTTTCTCACCAGTCAGAACAGGTTTTCAGGAGGTAACTCGTGCTGGAGCTCCCCCGTGCGTGATCAGCACTGAATCTTTGTAGTATGCTCAAACTTCTTTTCATCTATGGCCAAGTAATGGGGCATTCTTCCCCATCTGCGGCCTGTAAAGCAGCACTCCTCAGGGATGTGTATGTCGGGGCTTTGGTGTTTTTAAAGACAGGATTGACATGGTCAGGAAGGGCCAGGAGAGATGGTAGGGTAAAATAGTGATAAGGAATTTGGCAGTATAGAAAAAAGGAGCAGGGCCATATTTAGCTCACAGGAACAGATGAACTGGAGCAACCCTTCTCAGGCAGTTTTGCGGGATGAAGGGGGCAACTTGAACAGTGGTGACTCAAGAACCTGCCAGCTGCCTTCAGCTCTTAGGTTACAGTTCACTTAGATTGCAGCCTCCCTTTCTCTCAGTAGCTACAGTTACAGAGCGAACATGGAAAGCAGGGTGAAGTAAAAAGGGAGCAAATGTGGCCGTTGGAACTATACACGGTGCTAATGTGTGCAACATTAGAAGAAACTTTTTAACATTACATGAATACTGAAGGGAAAAGTGGGCATTGGAGAGAAGAGGCAAGATGTAGCGATAGACACTGGGGTAATGCTGGCTTGGGGGAAAAAAATAATTTTTTCCTAACCTCTCAAGGTATTTGAGAAAACAGATGGTCTGATGTGACTGAAGTTACTCTACACATGCCCTAATTGTAGAAAAGACCTTTTAAAGTCTACTATGCAAGGATTTAATTAGAGTAGTAAATATGAAGAGTTGAAGTTTATAGCCTGTTCAGAAAAGAAATATAATAGGGCTCGTACAGAACTAAGTAGCGAACTGCCAAGGAAATAGTAGGAATTTGGAGTCAGTGTTCAGAGATTCTCACTGTTCAGAGATTAAATGCTGTAAGACATCAGTGAGTTAGTTTGCCACTCGTGATCTTAATCTTTCACCAAATCTACTCAAAACTTTTAACTCTGTGATAATATTGTAGTTAATTATCAGTGAGGTGAAATTAACGATACAGTCCCCATCAGACAGATGTGCTAGGCTGTAAACCAGCATTTGAACTGCAGTGCCAGTGTCAATATGCACTCCATTATTTTAATGGGGCTGCTGCTTCCTTTAGAGTATCTGTCACATACTGTAGATTAGTGCTGAGTTATGGAAAGTATTCTTAGGAAGAAATAAATATGCAGAAAGCATCTGTAGTGGAGCAGATGTAGAGGTAGAAAGGTTGAGACAGAAATGCTCAAGACCAAACACAAAACCAATGTCATACATCTTAATCTCTTGATCTTTAATTAAGTGTTTCCATGCTGCTAATACAAGGAATCCCAAGCAGTCTCTGCTGAGGTGAGCATGTGTGTGTGTGAGGGTGCAGGGCCTATCAAGCACTTCCTTCAACCCGCATCTACAGATTCTGTCATACAGATGTGCAGGACACTCACTGGCAAAGGGGACACAGAGCCCCCGTCCCGTTCAGGAAGGACAAAACACAGGTGACAGATGTTGGAACCACTGCTTTGCCAATGGCTTTCTCCCTTCTGTTCTTCTGTGACACTTCTGCAAATATAATAAAGAAGCCATTACTCTTCAGATACGTGGTACTGAGCTCTAGTGAACCTCTCCCTCCCCCTGAACCACACAAATAGGGTTTACATAGAAGGAGTTTCTAACAGGTCACTGCAGTCTTTACAACATTTTCTTTGGTTTTAGCTGTGTGGTGCGTGCTGGAAAATCCCTTTATCAAATGGACTACACCAAACCAGTTATAAAGCAACACTATTTACAACACCTTCTTTGAAACAGCTTCATTCTATAAAGAATCAAATACACCCAAATGCAAATCTTTACACAAGGCCAAGCCAAATGAAATAACATAAAATGGTGGAAAGTGTAATGCACTGCAGATGAAAGTGAGTAATTTCTGCTCTTCCTTTATCCAGTGAATCTGAGTGGTCCCAGCTACTCCAGACACTTTGTTCCGATGGATTCTGGAATGCTTTTAAATTGTTCAGTTCTGTATCAAAATTTCAGGCAGTAAATGATTCTCTTACTTTAAAATAGTAACCCTGTGAGTTAGCAGAAGACTTTTAAATGGGTAAACATGTAGAATAGTATTATAGAATTGTTTAGGTTGTAAAAGATCCTTAAGATTGTTGAGTACAGCCTTTACCCCAAGACTGCCAAGTCCACCACTAAGCCATGTCACTAAGCACCACGTTTACATGTCTTCTAACTACCTCCAGGGATGGCAATTCAACCACTTCCCTGGGCAGCCTGTTCCAATGCTTGAAAAGCCTTTGGGGAAAAAACATTTCCCAATATCCAGTCTGAACCTCTCTTTGTGCAACTTGAGACCATCTCTAGGCCTATTCCTTGTTAAGAGACCAGTCCTCTCTAAAACCTCCTTTCAGGTACTTGTAAGAAAGTGATAAGGTCCCCTCTTATCTTCTCTAAGCCTTCTCTTCTTCAGACTAAATTCCCTGCAGTGCCTTCAGCCATTCCTCATCAGACTTGTGCTCAAGGCCTTTCACCAGCTTCACTGCTCTTCTCTGGACACGTAATAACACTGAAGTCCCTCTTTTCTGTCTGCAGTACACGCTGACTACAGTTCATTCTGATTCAAACGACAAGAGCTAAACCACAATTTATTCCAATCCCTAATGAATGCGTGTTGTGATTTCACGTTCAGATATTAGTCTGGCCTACTCTGGTATAAAAGAACAGGAAAGTTAGTAGCCAGAGGCAACACTGTCTTGTCTGTTTAACTGCAAATGCATCTTTTAAGCTATGGCTGTCTATATTTCCTGGTGCGAGAGGTTTCCCTGTCCCACACCAAACAGGAAGCATAATCAGATCGCTGATGATGTTAACAATATACCCGTTAATCATCGTCGTCATCATCCTCTGGGACAAAGATATCATGTTCTTCAAGCAGGGCTGCGAAGTTCTTACTGATCTGAGTGCCAACATACAGGAAGGGAATCACCACGCTGAACACTCTGAGGAGACCGAAGGGCGTCTGCGAGGGGTCGATTGGAAAAGATCGAGCTTTACCAGTAAGTTGTGCTGTGCCTGAGCCCACGCACCGCCGGGGAGCGCAGTCCGCCGGCCCTCCGGCGGCTCTCTATCTCTTCCCGTCACCCTCCCGCGGGCCACCGCGTCCGCCTCCGCGCCCAGCCCCAGCCCCCCTCAGCCTGTTCCCTGTCACTCACCGCCAGCGCCCCACCCACAGCAGGTGCTCCCGCTCTGATTGGCCACCGCTGCCATCCGTCACGCCGCGATTGGCTGCGCCCCCACCCGCTCGCCCCTCACTCACCTTAACCGGCTTGGGCAAAATGGCGCCGCTGCGAGTAACGGTGGCGCTCCGGGAGGGCACAAGCGGCACGGCCGGTGTGAGGCGCGGCCCGCCCCGCCATACCCGTCCCGAGTGAGCCGCGGCCGCGGCCAACAGCCGCCCGCCCGCTGTGGTCATCCTCCCTCGGGCTGGGCTCCCGTAACCGCCTGGCCAAGGCGTCACCCGGGGCTGAGGGGCCTCCTGTTCTCGCGAGGTTTAAGGGGAGGGGCGGGGTGGCAGCCGCGCATGCGTGAAGCGGGGATGCGCGTCACCCGGTGCCCAGCGCGGTTGGTGGGGCGATGGTGGGTGCTGGTGGCCTCGGGCGGGTGCTGTCGATGCGACTGGTGGGGACGGAGCCAGGAAGCTTTTTAGGGGCTCTAATAAAGGGCCCGCAAAGGCTCGACGGAGGATAACCGGACCGGGTGACCCTGCAAACGGGCAGGTCCTGCCGACGCTGGGCGTTCACACCTCCGTTGACAGCGCACAGGCTACAAATCAGAACGGTTTATTTGGCTTCACGGCATAAAATACAAACGTCTTGAAATGCAAAATACAATTTCCGCGTGTAAAACAAAGGCGCATGCAAAACCGCCTCTTAGGAAGATACATGTGTACATAAAATATAAGCACTTCAAAGAGGTGAGAGTGTTTCTGCAGGTTGCTCGTAGTGTTGCCGGTAACTGCTGGGTGCCGCAGAAAGGTGCCCCTGACACAGGAGCTCCGCGCATTCCCTGTGAGCTTCAGCAGGGTATTGAGGCTTCTCTGCAAAGGCAGTTGAGAGGGGTAAAATCGGGGGGGATACTACCTCCAAACTATTAATTTGGTAGCTGTTGTAATGGAAAACATCCTGTCTTGGTTGTGAATGTCCACAGGTGAAACCATCCGGTTATTCTTCCTACAGTAACCTGCTAGGACCTGGATTTGATGGAAAAATGTTGTTTTATATAAAGATAGATGTTCAGAAACAAAACAGTAGTCTCAATGTGAAATTCCAGCCTCAGAAAAATACAAGGATTCTGCCAACTATATTAGCAGGATTGGGAGCCCTTCTTGGCACAGCTTACAAAGGCCATGTCAGAATTGCCCTCCTTTCAGACTTCAGTCTCTTTTAATTTCAAGCATTTTTGTCCCATTGCTTTTGTGTTATTATACTAAAGAAAACTCTTTGAAAATGGTTTGACTTCAGTAGCCATCCCGCTTTAGTGTTCAGCTCCCCTTTTGCAAGGGAACCACTTGAAAATGGTTTGACTTCAGTAGCCATCCCGCTTTAGCGTTCAGCTCCCCTTTTGCAAGGGAACCTGTCCTATGCTGCCCAGACATTTTCTAGCTTTAATAAGGGAAAGAAAAGGCGAGAGGTGAAACAGCCCAAACCTGAATGACCGGAGAAAAACAGTGTGTGGCAATCAGTCTTATTCTGCTGTCGGGGACAATGTGCAATGAAAATTCTGTGCTTTCCCTGTAACGATCTGTGCCTGCAAGCTGACAGAGAGGATACCCCATTAGCCAGACACGTGTGATCTCAGGAAGCTGAAATCCCGACCTTCTGCCCAGGGGCTGCTTCAAAGGCGCTGCCAGCACAAGCGAGTCTCAGCAGAGCTGGTTTGATAGCTCCATCTCAGAGGAGGTGGTGGAGCACACAGGTGCTTCCTGCCTAATGAAGCAAGTGGCAGCGGTCATTAAAAACCTAGTACTCCCAAACAGATTTGAGCAGGACTCTAATTACAGCTCTTTTTACTCACAAAAGGGCCATCCCTGCTACATGAGCAGGATGATGAAGAAGCCCTGATCAAGCTCATTCAAAGTCACGCAGCACTTTGGTGACCTAGCAAAGACCCGGGCGTGCACAGCCCGGCTGAGGACAAATACCGACTGGGATTCAGCCATTTCCTTCTCGGTGCTGCAGAATGAACCACAGAATTACTCCAAATGCAATCAGACGGAAGGCAGAGAGCAGCGCCTCATTTGCCGGATTGAGGATTTAGCTGGGATATGTGCTAACGTAAAGGCAGGTAGCGTGCAAATTGTGCCATTTGAATGGGACAGATTAAAGCATTAAATATAAGCTCTTTAGTAGTGTTATTAGCACAATCCTGGCTTATTAAAACAAACTAAGCTTCTTAAAAGTGAAACTGCCCTTAAATGAATAATACAGTTTCAGCTCCAGTTTTGACAGAACTGGCTTTGTTAATTTATTTTCCCTTTCAAGGCACTCATGATTCTTGGGTCTCATGTAGGAATTGCCATCACATTTTGATTTATTTTGGAAGTTAAACTGCCAAACTGCCGTCAAAACTGCCTTATGTAAGTCTGAGGCATCAGGAATATTCTTCCCTCTGTATTACATGGAAGAGAAAAAATAACCACTGAAAAGTACTTGCTAAATCCAACGCTGGTCCCAAAATACCCACACTCAGAGTGAGGAGGCACCAAGCAGCGCCATCCCTTGACATTGCTGCCATGACATGGGGAAGGGCACAGGTTCCCAGCTGGAAATGCTGCAGCACTTAACGATTCAAGCAGCAGGTAGGGAGGCAGAGCCGGCCCCTAAGTCCAGCCAGCTGGGCTGCGGAAAGAGCCTGGACACTGGCCCATGGCCATCTGCTCCCAGTTTTTCTGAATTGTTCTCACTTAAAAAGCAGAATAAAAAGAATCCTCCCGAACTCAAAGATCCTTACTGTGAAGAAAAACAGGCACAAGCTGGAGAGGACTGGATTGCATTGCTCGCATGTGAAGGTAACACACCCGCTGCCCGGAATTGCATCTGAAAGATCTGATTTAAGATCTGATTTCCTGTAATATACCACTGAGCTATAATTAGGCAGGAGGCTGGAAGCTCACCATCCATAACTATCAGAGGTATGTTTTCAAAGGCACCAAGAGTTAATGGAAGTCTTTTGATTTCTGCATTGGCAATCTCTACTGGCTATTGCAAAGTATTAAGCTGAGTGCATGTAACTCCAGAAAAGCAAATAGGTTCCTACCCATCATGACCTGAAACTGCCTCTTGGTTTCCTAGCAAGGCTCCTTAAAAAAAAACAGAGCAATAAAACCAGGTTTAACACTGGTAGATAAGAAGCACAAGATTGTTTTGTATATTTTTCCTGTTTTGAGAAACAGCCCTTGCCAGGGAGGGGATTTATAGGTGTTAGAGCCCCTGGAGACAGCACCCACCTACTTATACCATCTGCTTCATGGCCAAGGATTCTGACCTACTGAAGGGCAAGTCTGTTTCTGCAGCAAGGTGACAGGCGTGCCTCCCTGCTGCACTCCTCACATTCTGGGAGGATGCGACATGCTACAGATATCAGCCGAGTGATGCTGACATGAAATCAGAGGGAAGCACCGGCAGGTCGGGTGCTGGCTTTGGTAGAAGGCAGTGATACAGCTTTGACGCTGGAGAGGCAAGCCCGGACACTGCTGACCCAGTCAATGCTACCTGTAACTCACTCCCACACCCCCACTTGTGGGAGCAGCCCTCTCCTACTCCCCACTCCTCCAACTGCACAGCTCTGCCCGGAGCTGGGCAGAGCCACAACAGCGCAAGAGGCCCTGCAAGAATGTGGCTGTGGGCACTGTCTCAGGCACACTGCCCAGTGAGCCTGCTGAGCTCTACATGGCACTTAGCAGGAGCAGAGAAATTCATCCCTGCCCAGGCAAAGAGGCTTTAGCGTCCCTGTTTTAGAACAAGGAAGGCTTGTGATGGAGATATTAACAGGCTTGGCTACTGCTCAACAGAGTCCATATCAGCCCTGGGAGCTTCTGGTCCTTGCTGTTCCTTAGGACCAGGCTCGGTGTCTCCATTTCAGCCTTGCTGCTGATCTCAGGCACCCAAAGAGACGGATGCAAGCCCATGAAACCCACATCCTGAAGAATTTAGCAGGGAGGACGGTTAGTGCATATGAAAGTAAAAAAAAGACCAGCATGACACAAAAGCCCAGTCCTCATTGCTGCAGCTGCTGGGCCAGCCACAGCTGCAGCATCTCACAGTGTCCTGTGGGGAGAGGCACAAGGCTGGAAGCACCCACCAGGGCCAGTGCCCCTTTGGAGGCATTTCGTAAGAGCCCAGCCTTATCTGCCATGAAAGAGCAAAGGCAGAAGTTTGGCGGAAGACCACAGACAATAATAAATTCTGACCTGTGCAAAATCCCATGCTGAGAAATAAAACCAAAAAATAGTGTGAAGCAAAGGCAGGAGAGGAAGCACACATGGCATCAACCACACCAGGGCAGCAAGGGACAAAGCCCATTGGGTGAGGTTTGTTGCATATGTGCTGATTTGGGCCCCCTCCACACCTCGTACCACTAGCAGAGGAGCATTCAAAGGCAGCTCCGCTGGTATTACACACTCTCCAGCTGTATAAAGCTTCAGGGAAATGAAACGTGAGGTCTGCAGAAGATTTGTGTCTCTCCCACATGCCCCATGAAGCACACACACACGGCATACTCAGCCACCAACCAGGGCAGGGGACAAGCAGTGTCCCTCGTTTTGCTCTTGCTGCCTGGGAGACAGCTTGCTGTGCATTGGCTGGCTGGCGGCTCGCACCCCGTGTTCCCAGTCATGGGTGTCCCCTCTTCTGCCTCTCCTGCCATTCCCGCCTCAGCACTGCGATCTCCTGCCCGTACCAGCCGTGCAGCTTGGAGAAACAGGCTGTCTCCGGCGACACAGGGCTCTCGGTCATGCCTGGCGAGAGGCTGGGTGCTGGGAACCCCGCAGCACTGCCAGCAGCCGAGCGCCGGCGTGGAGGCAGGGGTGGGGGCTTCGCTTGCCCCCCATCACGGTCAGGGCAGGTGGCCCCCCCAGGGACAGCACCACCACTACCCCACGTGGAGTAACCGTTCTCCAGGACAGCAGGCTTCTCCTGGAGAGGCAGCAAGGCAGGGTTGGAAAGGTGCCTCTTCCTGCTGGAGGAGGAGGACCTCCGCGGGGACTGGCGGCAAGCAGCCAAGCTCTTGCAGGCCTCCTCCAGTTGCTTCTCCAGCTCCCTCACCACCAGCCGCATGTAGTCGAAGCTGGCCCGTGACAGAGCCTTCACCCAGGCCTCCATGGCAGCCTGCCCATCGGCCACCAGCACATAAGCCCTGGCACCAGCATCATCAAAGCGGATGGCGAAGGCGAACTCCTCGGCAGCCTCGCACAGCTCCACGGTGCAGCCCTCCAGCACCACAAGCCCCACGGGCTCCCGGCTCTCCCGCTCCTCGAAGTAGAAAAGGAGGTTGCCCTTGAGGACGAACCAGCGGCGCTGGTAGGAGGTGGCATGGTGGTGATGGGCATGGTGGTGATGCCGCTCCACGCGCTTGCGGAGGAAGCCGGCATGGTCAGTGGGTGAGTCGCAGGTAGCGTAGTGGGCCACGCTCCGCTCATTCAGCTTCATTGCCCTGCCTAGAAGAGGAAGAGAGGGGGAAGAAATTGGTTCGGGGTGAGCAGTATCTTAGCCACCCTGCCAGGAAAGGCATGATCCTGCCCTGGGCCTGTCACTGGGAAAAGCAGCCACAATGCCAGCAGCCCATGCTACAGGACAGTGTCTACCCCAGCAAGTACCCCTGCAAACGGCAGGCCGGCTCCTTGCTGCTGCAGAGGTGAGGGAAGTCATCGCTAGAGCCCCACCACTAAGACACCTGCCTTCTCCAGGAAGGACCACACTGGTGCTTCATTTCCTGTTCCATGAGTGATCTACTTTACTGTTTTTTTATGGGGCACATCAAAGAAATTTGCCTCTGTGCCTGCAAGACATTAATTTCACTCTCATTAATAGGGCAGAATAAGGAGGGCATTTTCAGACCCAAGGGGTCTGGGACCTCCTTTTGAGCACCTGCTTCCTGCTCCCCGTCTTCATGCAGGGCCACCCGTCCCCACCAGCCCTCCCACCAGCAGCACCCCCAGCCCCAGGAGGTTCACTGTCAGTGAGGTCCATGGTGCCGTACCGGCTGTGTGGGTCAGACCACAACCCCTTGCTGTCTTCCCTGGGCAGGCTGCTCCCTTGCTGATGGCCTCCAAAGCTTCACCGTGCTGAGCCCCATCCCTGGCTGGAAGAAAGGTGGCAGAAAGGGAGTCACAAACCAGAACAGCTTTGGAGTGGAACAGCGAAGAACTGCAACAGCGAAGAACTGCATCACTCCCACCCCAGAAAGCTTGGACCCTTGGCACACAAGAGTGGCCAGGGACAGGCAGTGCAGGCAGGGAACTCTGGAAACCAGGGTGGCAAAACTGAGGGGCACTCTCCCTGTCTTCAACGCCAATGTTCCTGGAGGGTTATTTTTTGGCTCCTGGGGGGTTGGTTTGGTTTTTGTAGGAGCACAGGCTGTGTTGTGTGAAGACTCCCAAGCAGGTGACTCGGCCTGGTGCTGCCGAAGGACACAGCGAGTGCAGCCTGGGTGATTCTACAGCTGCAAATGGATGTCCGACGGCTAAAACTCCGCACACAACTATGCAGAAAGCAAACCACAGCCGCCGCTCCCCGGCCAGATCCCTCCTCCCCCATGAGGGCTAGTGGGACAGGCTGGGGACAGCCCCCCGTTGGAAAGTTAACCGAATCCATTGCCTGGGGGGGCTTCGCCTTCAGGGCCGCACCCTGAGCCATCTCCAGCCCTGTCCCGCGGCAGCACTGACCCGGCGGGAGGTGCGGGGATCCCGCGCGGGTGTGTGCGGTGCTGGGCTCTGTCTCTTTGTGTGCCTGTGTGTTTGCCTCCTGCCTACGGCGCGCCGCGGCCCCGGCCCAGCCCCGCCGCCCGCTCCCGCCCCACCGCCGCCCTCCGGCCCTCGCCTGGCGCCTCGCCCCGGCGGCGGGACCGCGGGCCCCGTCCCGGCTCACCTCAGGCCGCTCCTGCTCGGCGGCGCTGCCGGCGGTGCGCGGTGGTGCGCGGCAGCCGGGGCCGGCCGCTGCGGGTCGGGGGAGGGCCGCGCCGGCAGCACCGCCCCGCCGGCCGCAGCGGCACCTCCCGCGCCTCCTCGCTCCTCCGGGCACCCCTGCGGTCCCACTCGGGGCCAAAGCCCTTCTCCCGTCCTCCCAGTGTAACTATCGGGGCGCGGCCGTGACACGGTGCCGGCAGTGGCGGGCAGCGGCAGCGGGGTGCAACAGCCGCAATGCTGACGGTGCCACAGCGCAGGGGCGATACCGCCGGGGTGAGGCGCCGGCGGGGCACGGCGGGGCTGGCGGGGAGGGAAGTGCGATCGGTTGGTCAGGTGACGCGAGCGGCATCATGTGAGCGGGGCCGGGCCGGGGCGGGCAGAGGCCGTCTGTGTGCCGGTGGCAGCCATGGGGCCGGCGGTGCTGAACGGGCTGCCTTTGGCCCTGGCCTTGGCCCTGGCCCTGGTGCTGCCCTCGGCAGCCCTGGAGAACGGTCTGGCGCTCACCCCCCCCATGGGCTGGCTGGCCTGGGAGAGGTTCCGCTGCAATGTGGACTGCCGGGCGGACCCTCGCAACTGCATCAGGTCAGCGGGGCCGCGGGGAGCCCGGGGCTCGGCCACCCCCTCCCTGCACGGAGCGCTTGTCCTCTGTGTCCTCCGCCCCAGGGAACCTGCTCGGGTCTGCCCCGGGTCTGCCCTGGGGGAGCGCACAGGGTGGTGCCGGGGAAGGAGAGAAGAGGGTGGCCGGGTCGGCTGTCGGGCCCGGGGCCGCTCTGGCACTGTGGTGGGATCTAGGGAAGCACGGTGTGAGGGAGGTGGGAAGCTCGGTGCTGGGGGTCCCCGGTGCGGAAGGACGTGGCTGGTCTTTGCGGGGTGTTGGGGAAGTGCTTCCCCTCTGTGAGGTCAGGGAACGGGGCATGGACGAGGTTTAAACAGGAGGCCTGGAGACCGTGCCGTGTGGCCCAGGCCAGTCCTGCTGCTACCGACCCTCCAGAGCCCCCTGATAGACCTCAGGTCCTGCTGTCTACCTCAAGTGGTGGGGCACGAAATGGTGGGTTGTGGGTTCTCAGCCTGCCGTGTCCCCATCCCCTCGACCTGCAGCGAGACGCTGTTCTTCGAGATGGCCGACCGCCTGGCCGAGGATGGCTGGAGGGAGCTGGGCTACAAGTACATCAACATTGATGACTGCTGGTCTGCCAAGAAGCGGGATGCGGCGGGACAGCTGGTGCCCGACCCCAAGAGGTTTCCCAGGGGGATTAAAGCTCTGGCTGATTACGTGAGTGTGTGGTGGGCATCCCTGCATCCCTATGTTGCCATGGCAGGAGCTGGGAGCAGATGGAGGACTCTGGGAGGCACATGGGATCCCCCTCGTGCCCTCCTTGCAGCTCTCCTCTCCCCACAGGTCCATGCCCGGGGCCTAAAGCTGGGCATTTATGGCGACCTGGGCACACTCACCTGTGGGGGCTACCCGGGCACCACACTGGACCGCGTGAAGCAGGACGCCCAGACCTTTGCAGAGTGGGGTGTGGACATGCTGAAGCTGGACGGGTGCTACTCATCAGGAGAGGAGCAGGCAGAGGGTAAAAGCTCCCTGGCCAGCTGGCACTCCTCCCCTTGCTGCTCTGGTCAGGGCAGCTAGCTCTCCGCAGCAGTGCTGGAACAGCCGGTTCTTCCCTCACGTCTCCTGTTGCAGCTCATGGGCAAAGAGGAGGAAGTTGGGATGCCCTGGAGCTGGTGTGAGGCAGGAGGCCAGGCGGGCTGGGACACAAGCTGCTGCTGCTAGCTCTCCCCTTCACCGGTTGTCATCTTCTCTCCTTAAGGCTACCCAGAAATGGCGAGGGCCTTGAATGCCACGGGCCACCCCATCGTCTACTCCTGCAGCTGGCCGGCCTATCAGGGGGGGCTCCCCCCCAAGGTGAGGGTTATTCCATCCAGTGGCTGTTTTCCATGTCCCCTATGCCCTCGGGGAAGCTCTTGTTGGAGCTGCAGGAGCCGGGTGCTAAACCCCGCTTATCACTGTCGCTGGTAGGATTGCAGCAGGTCCCTGGAGAGGACATGGCCTCCCTGATAGGCATCTGGAACACTTGGGGTTCCCTCCATGTTCAGTGATGGGAGTCTGGCGAAAGAAGGCCCCAGGGCGTGCCCTCTCCACCCCACTCGCGTGGTTGATCCTGACAATCTTCTGATATGGGTCTTGTCTTCTTTAAATGCATGAAAGAGGATGCACTTCCTAGTAATGTTTCTTGAGAACTGAGTGTGTGTTTATTTCCTTTTACATCTTCTGAGTGAATCCCGAGCTGCCCTCATTCTTGCAGCTGGTCATATTTCCACATGGCCTTCGTGGTTGTTTTACCAGACATCTTATTATAGTGGGATGTGCCCAGTCATATTGGGGTATGACTCTGTCCCCCTTCGCTACGTGATGTTGCCCTTCTCCAGGTCCCTCTGCCTTTCACACCCTTCCTGGACGCTGCAGCTCTCAACAAGTGTGGCTGCCTCTTCTCCCCCACCTTGCAGACTGGGTCCTTTCTCCCTCCTGCCTGATGCTGTGCTCCTCTCCAGGTGAACTACACCATCCTGGCAGAGGTCTGCAACCTGTGGCGTAACTACGACGACATCCAGGACTCCTGGGACAGTGTGCTTTCCATCCTGGACTGGTTCTTCGAAAATCAGGATGTGCTGCAGCCAGCAGCTGGCCCTGGCCACTGGAATGACCCAGACATGGTGCGGCTGGGTGATGGGTGCTATGGATGGGGGACCTCCAGTGATCCCCCTGTAGGGGCAGGGCAAAAGAGGAGTGCCAAGGGCAGGAGCCTTGTTGCTGCAGAGAGGGAAAGCTCATGTTGCCATTGAGGGTAATGGTGAAGCAAAGGGTGGTAGTGAGTGCATTTGAATGTGTGTTGAAGGCTCAGCACCTAGCAGGGGTGAGCTCTCCCAGCAGTGGTAGGCTTCTAGAGGGGAAGCAAGAGTGTGCAGAGGTTTCTGATGCGTGCTCACTCCCAGCAGGCTGCAGCATCGCTGAGGGTGACAAGCGGACAAGTTTCTAACCCTTTTCTGCCTTTCCCCTCCAGCTCATCATTGGAAACTTTGGCCTTAGCTACGAGCAGTCACGCTCCCAAATGGCCTTGTGGACAGTGATGGCAGCTCCACTCCTCATGTCCACGGATCTCCGCACCATCTCCCCAAGCGCCAGGGAGATCCTGCAGAACCGCCTGATGATCCAGATCAACCAGGACCCCCTGGGAATCCAAGGGCGCAGGATTGTCAAGGTTAGGAGGAAGGTGGATGTGTTTGGGAGAGCTGACAGGAGCAGCACAGGGTGTCACAATAAGGAGGGAGAGGGAAGTGATGCAGAGAAACATGAGCAGGAGAGCTGTGGGAGCTGGGGTTCTGCTGGTGTAGCGATCCTGCAGGACAAGGTCTGTGGGCCAGTGCTGATCCCAGGAGTTCTGCCTCACCTGTTCATCCCCACCCTCAGGAGAAGTCCCTCATTGAGGTGTTCCTGCGCCCACTGTCCCAGGGTGCCAGTGCCCTTGTCTTCTTCAGCCGGAGGGCAGACATACCCTACGTCTACACCACCAGCCTGGCTAAGCTCCATTTCCCTGAGGATGCTGTGTATGAGGTGAGCCCCATACCCCACAGCACCTGGATCCCTCTCTTGCCAGTTCCCTCCTTTGCCACCCTGTGTGTTTTTTGGGAGGGAAGGGCTCCCTCTCTCTGCCTTCAGCATGAAGGGGCAGCCACACATTGGGTCGCCCTCCTGTTGCCCACTGCTGTGCCCTGTCCTGCCATGCCATGTCAGTGCCCATGGCTGGCCCTCAAGATAAAAGGTGTGTGGAAATCCTGGTAGCCACCATCTCTCTCTTCCAGGTACAAGATGTGTACAGCGGGGAGATCATCAGAGGCTTGAAGGCGGGGGACAACTTCTCAGTCACTGTTAACCCCTCGGGGGTGGTGATGTGGTTCCTGTACCCTGTGCCACAGCCCTGGCGCATTGTCAGACAGCAAGCCCCCCGCGAGGGTTTCCGCCCGGTCCTCCTGTGACAGGGCTCAGCAGATGGGGGTGTGGGTCCGTGCCGCAGCGGGCCGTGAGACCCTGCCTGGGGCATGTGGCTCTGCCCTGCACAAGTGCCTTTCGGTGGTGTGCCCAGCAGTGCTGGGGGTGACCGTTTCTCTGGTACCAGCTTGATGACGTCTGCTCAGTCTGCGTGAAGCAGGAATTCTTGTTGCCACCTCCTAAGGGTGTGCAGAGCATAGTTCCCCAGTGATGGCAAAGCCTTCTGAGGTCCTCCTGTGGAAGACTCCATACAAACAGAGCCCTGCTGCTGGTTTAGTTCATCATATCTGACACCTGAGCGTTTCTCTGCTTCAGGCTGGGTACCACTGACTGTTGGGGGCTGTTTGAACTAAACCTGTAGAAAGGCTTTGGATGCTTTTGTATCTTCCAGGGTAGTGACTCACCTCCCTCTATGTGTGATGGATGGCATCTGATCTTCAAGGATCAGACCTGGTCACCTTCTTTTCTTCGCTATAATCAGCTTGGCTTAGAATAAGGGGCTGTCAATAGGGCTGCACCCTTCCTGTGTACCCATCCCAGGACCAAGAGCTCCTGGAGGCATGATGGTCCTGTGCAGAGTCTTTGCAGGCCTGATCCGGCTCCAGCAGCCTGGAGGCCAGCACTACTACAGCCTAGCATGCATGCTAGCATTGTATTAAAGCTCCTCTGGAATCAGTGTACAGCAGAGCAAAAACCTCTACTGACCATGCACAACCCCAGCAGCCTTGCTGTGGTACAGCCCCAGGAGCTGCAGGGTGTTGTGCACAAGTGGTGTAGGGAAGATGCTGACGGTGTCTCCCGAGTTGAGAGATGGTCACATGTGTCTCCAAAATGAAGCTGCATCCTGTTCTTGATCTGGCAGGAAATTCCTGCAAAAAGGGGGCTCAGGGCCTCCTGCAGCAGGCTGGACACTCAGGGTTTCTCAGGGAAAGGCTCCTCCCAAGGGCAGCTACATCCGCAGCTCCATTCTGAGAAGGAGCCTACCCCTTGCAATAAACTGCAAGCGAGCAGTGGGACAGACTGTAAAGCCCTCAACTGCTTCACCTTTCTACAGCGCACATCCTATGGTGGAGTTTGACATGAGACATGGCCTACCCCGACTGCCCCGGACTTCATGACTGCAGCATTCATGAAGACTGCTTTTCAAGATTGCAGCCCAGGGAGATAGGCACAAGATGAAGCCTCAGACTGGGAAAACACCACATTTTAGATCAGCAAAACCAAGTTTCCCCTTTCTGTTCAGATGCTGGAGGGCTCCTGGTCATCCCCCAACTCTGGTTCCTGCAGGATCAAATGGCTGATTCTGGCCAGTTCCAGAAATGTTCTCTGACTGCAGCGGCAAGATGCTGAACGTGATGCTTGCAGTGCCGACGAGAAAGGATGAGCACACTTCATGTCTATGTACAGGAGTTGGCTTGGTTCTTGGGGAGTGATTGAGACAAATTAATTGAAATAAAGGGCAGGCGGGCCCCAGGCTCTCCCGTTTCGTGTTTATTTATGTTGCTGGCTATGGCTGCTTGGTTAACGTAGGGTCATCACCTCAAAACAGGAACACCTACACTGTGAAACAGAACTGGTTTCCTGTCAGAGACAAGTGCTGGACAGACAGACATATGGAGAGTAGGAAATTGTATTCCAATAGTTACATCATGTTCAGCAGGGCACCAGCTTTCCTTGGTACAAAGGGAAACAGATTTCACAGTCCACAGTTACCTGCCATTTTCCTTTACCATGTATTTATTTACTTTTGCCTCACTGGAAAAAACTGACTAGCGAGGAGTTCCTGTTAAAAGAGAGACCTTTCCTCTGGCACTGAATGCACATAGCAGAGGTGCTACAAATACAGCTGCAGTGAATAGTACGGTGGTGGCCCAGCCCCTGTTAAGTGCAGCGTTGTCCTTGCCCCCAGGACATGAACACAGGCCAGTTCTGGTGATCCAGGAGAGAGCAAAGGCACAAACCAGCTTTCCACCCTCCTCAGGCAGCAAGAGGATGAGCCCCACCTTTTTCTCCCCCAGTTAACTGGTTCCAGATCCAGCTTAGCCACACACCAGGGAGAGAGAAGGCAAGAATGAAGGTCAACGCAAGACACACAACAGTCACCAGGCAGCTAAAGGTATCAACGCTCCTGTATTAAAGTGCAATGCAAAAGGTTACAAACATTCATAATTATTTTTTTTCTTCTTTTTAAATACCGAGTTATTAGAATAACTCAGACCTAAAAGGTATTTATAGATAAGGAAATTTCCTTCCCCCTATGCAGGGCTGCTTTAAGAATTTTCACTTGCAAGTCATACAAGCCTGATTTACAGGAGAGCCCTGGCACACAGGGAAGAAGGAAAATATGCCTTCCCCTTCACTGTGAAGGTAGGAAGACTGTAGGAAGAAGCATGATCACTCCCTATGTAAAGGATCACAAGTGTCTCCACCAGACTAGGGGGACTCTCTTCAGAGCAGGTTTAATGGCACTATGTCCTAGGGAAGAGGGAAAGGTTGTGGTTGAGCAGCCAGTCCCTGCAAGAGAGCTGAGCATCAGTAACACCCATACCAGGCAGCAGTTCCCACCAGAGAGAGGGCACTGCACCCCCAAGCATCCCAGCTCCAGTACTGCAGCGCTTGGATGCGGTGGCTGAAGACAAGGCCCACTTCCCCGTGTGGAGCCAGCATACAGCACGAGCTTGCTCAGCACAGGGAGCTGTGGGACCCATCTCCTGACAAGGCTAGTCCCGGGTCATCTTCCTAATGTAACAGATTTTACTCCATGGCAAGCAGCCTCCTGTGCAGCCCTTGTCTCCTCCATCACGTGGCACAGGATCACTGCACAGACGCGGGACCTGCTTCTAGGAGAGGGGAAGGAAGACTGATCCATACCTCCAGTCTGTCAGCTCACTGCCCTGCAGCACGCCTTTGTCTGCTTTTCTGTTCAGTGTCCACAAGGACAGGCTGAGTGGGGCCCACCCCCTTCCCTCTTGCATAGCCAAATGCTTCAGTGTCTCTCTGGATGCACTTCCCAAGTTTGTCACCCCATGTCTGTTAGTCCAGGACATGAAACACGCTTCCAGCACAATACAGAATGTCCAGAGTCCCATCTCGTGCTGAACTGTGCCAGAATTTCAGGGAACCCAACACCTTTCTGGGGCACCCAAGAGTCTATGCAAGGAACCTCATGGCTCTCTATACCTTTCGTCTCGGATGATGCTTTAGAAGAAGTAAAAAGTTTGGCATTCCAAATAGTTTTACTCCAAGATCCCAGAACCTTCATATTTTAGTCCTAGATTAGTGGTGTGGTATAGTGGTGGTTTAACATGAAGTCCATCTCTCTCCTCAAGCCAATGGAAGAGCAAAAGGTTAGTGCTTCAACCCCATGAAATAAAGCAAATAAGAAGGAAAATGCTGTTGTTCCACCTTGCATTACCACTGACTGAGTGTTTAAGGGCAGGTGCTCAGCTGCCCACCATGACATATACTGTATATACACAGAGACCTAGAGATATGCTAACCCAGGGGGTAGGGACAGCCAAGCTGTCTTCGGAGACAGAGAGTGCAGGAGGCTGGTTGCAATTTCCTTCTGTTAGTTGTTCTTCTTATCCTCAGGAGGTGTATAAGGAGGTGGCTGGTCCTGGAAGGAGATACAGTGGAGTCAACAACCCTACTTGTTTCACAACAAGCTCTTCCCAGGCGTTCTCAGGCTTGGCTTACAAGAAACGACCGCTCTCCAGTGAGCTACAGAGTGAGCCAGGAGCTGTGTTTTAAGCTGTCATTTCATCACACCATTCCTCTCTAGTTAATCAGCACACTCTAGGATATATGCTGCCTCCCACAATGTTTCTAGTGAAGGTCCCCTCAAACCCAGCCAACAAAAGGACTATTGCAAACAGACCATGTTTAAAACTGCATTTAATTTGTTTTAATCACCACGCTCCCAGGGCTCTGTTGATGTTCATAGCTCTGACCCAGCAGAGAGCAAACCCCTGGGCTGAGGGCCAGCTTTGCTGCTCCATCGGTCTCCAGCCCACCACAGAACCACGCGAGGCAGTGACGGGCACAGGCAGATCAGCTGTCACATACCACTGTGTAAGCTACAGCCTACCTTCCACATGCCACTGACTGAACAGTGAGAGACATCCCTATCTCCATACAGCCCAGAAGAAAACAAGAGAAACCCACATGCTCTCCTCCTTAAATGACCTGCTGCTCTTTAACTCTTTTCACTTTCAGGCCCATCAGAAGCAGAGTACTCTGTGTGTTCTGCGCCCATGCAAATTTGCTATGCCTTTAAGAGCAACACAAATACCAAATGGCTATTACTGGACAAGTCTTAAGGTGCTTCTCCTTTCCTGATTGAGGATTGAACATGAGACAAACAGCCACACCTTCCTCCCAGGAAAATGCATACTTTCTGTGCACATTCAGTATGAAGGCACAGTGGACTTTGCTAGGGAAGCAAACCACCATCTCTGCTAGCAAAGAAGAGGAAGGAGGCATAGGCAGACCACACGCACAGTACTTACCACAGGCATGTATACATTGTGTGGGTTGGCAGAGTTGTAATAAGCACTGGAAGTGGCTTCCATGGCCCTACTGTCCCCTAGAAAGGAAAGAAAAAGCCATCTTACATGCCTTAGGCAGTGGCCCAAGTCCCAGAGCCTTCTCCCACAGCCACAGCTCTTTCGAGGAGGCAACAGAGGTCCAAAGAGGCAGCAGCAACTGCAGCAAGCTGGGTTAGAATTCAGAGGCTTGGGAAAGCTGCAAGCTGGCAAAAGCTGACCACAAGCAGTGCAGTGCAGAGCTGAACGGTTCCCCCCCTCCCTCTGCTACCTCAAATAAGTGATGAAGAGAACTCTGAGCCCCTGAAACAACAGCTTCTGCACTCCATGCTGTGCCCACAGTTCAAGCCCTAAGCACCCTTCTGCACCAGACCCTGGCAGCCCCCATGTCTCACTTACCTGGCATCCCTGGGCCCACTGATGCTGCGGGTCCTGCAGGAGACGGCCCAGAGTAGGGGGGTAGAGGAGGTGGCACAAACATGGGGCTCATGTTGGGAAGCGGTGGGTAAATACCTGAAAAAGATGAAACTGGATTGATGCTTTGAACCATGGCAATGGGACAGGGTGGAAGAGAGCTCACAGGCTCAGCAGCACACTGGTTCTGGACAAGAGCAGTGGTGAGGGAAGCTCTGGAGGCTTGGCAGGGGTGCAGACAGCAAGGATTTGACATGCCAGCAAATCCTCTGCCAAGCAGCAGCACCATTTACAAACAACATTTTCACCTCTCATCCAGCTGCAAATAGAGAGACAGTAACCCCCACCATACCACTGTGATTTCTTTACAGCTAACACCAAACACACCCTGCCAGTCATCATCACACAACTTCCAAACCTGGAGTCTGGGCATATGGATATCCCATGGGCTGTGGAGCAGGTCCATAGGCATTCATCGGAGGTGGTGCATAAGGATATGGTCCGTTTGGTGGTGGAGGAGCTGCATAGCCCTCAGGAGCAGGTGGGGTGGGTGCATATCCTCCAGGAAAAGGTGTATAGCCATAGCCAGGGTTCTGGAGAGGAACACCACTGGAAGCTAAGGAGCACGTGTTTAGTAAGACAGACATCCTTTTGTTACAACTAAGCACATAGAATGAAAGGAAAACAGTCCTCTTCATGCAGCATTGCTTCCCTTCATC